GCGAGAGAGAAAAAGAGAGAGAGAGAGAGACAGAGAGAGAGTGAGAGCGAAGGAGAGCACATGGCAGTCAACATGGTGTCAAAATGGCATCAATGTCCCGTGCGCTTTGCAGGTGCACTTGATTGTTGATTGCAGCGCCAAGACCAGATGTGGCAGACCGTGGGATTCTAGGCCCAGCTTTCGGCGGGTAGAAAGGGCACGTGCTGGATGGAGTTCGCCTTCCCTCGGCCATGGCAAGTACGCAGGTGCAGTCTTTTTCTATGCCAGGCGTTCCGGACGAGGAAGAAGTGGACGAGACGCCCGTGACACGGATCGCTATTGACGACAGTATTGACGACAGGGTTTCCGCCATCATCGACAAGTTGGGCTCTGTGAAGCTTTCGTCTTGGGACGAGGTACGTGGAGTCCTTGCCAACTTGGACGACTTGGACCTCGGCGACGACGTCTTGGAGCGTGTGATGCATGCCTCAGCGGCGAAGTTGAACTTCTGGGCTGACGAGGAGCTGATTACCTCCTGCTGCGAGGCGCTGAAAGCACGCCTTCACCATCCACAGAGCTCAGCTCAGCTCCTCGACACGGAGGAGGCCGAGCTGTCTGAAGGGTCGGGCATCCAGGCTGTGGCCCGGCGCCGGAGCAGCAAAACCAGTGTTGGCTCCAGATCCTCCAAAGGCACCAGATGCTCCAAGAGCTCAACGCGCAGTCTTTGTGACTCTACTTCGCTTGCTTTCAAACAGGTAGCGACCGATGCGAAAGTATCTGCTGACATCATGAAGACGTCGAAAGCAGAATCCAAGAAGGAAAATCTGATACTGCAAGACGTCGCTGCTTCTCGGCTGGCGCAGTTCAAGTATGCACTTCGTTTTTTCATCACTTTCCAGATGGTGATCTTTGCCACCTACGAGTTTTACTACACCACGCCGAAGACTTGGCGCCTCGTCGGGTTGCCCCTCCCTGTGGCAACGTGGCTTTGCGTACGGCGCATGCTTCTGGACTGGGATCCTCTTCCTCACCATGTCCCGAGACTTCTTGTCTCTTTTGGCGCGGTGGCCATGTGTGCAGAGGTCGCAGCTCCTCATGCAGCTCATCAACTGCCAAAAGGAGCTCCATATTTTCAGCTCCTGGCAGGTTCTGTTGGATAGCCTTGTGCACACATTCGCGCATCATATTGGAACCTTCACTGCGCTTGAGAGAACCACAGCTGAAGAGCTAAACAAAGCTTTCGTCTGCGCGCGAGATCCCACGGAGCTACCCGCCGGATACCTTGCTTTGAAGACCTTCCAATATCCGATTTGCCCACTGCCGGCAAATGCAGACATTGGCTACTTTGATGGTGTTCTCTCCACACCAGGAATTACAGGCTACCTGCTGCTGATCGTGATCTGCCTGTTAGGCTGGGCTTCAAGCGCCAAAGTGAGGCACGCACGTTTCCGCGTCTTCTACCAATTCCACCACTTCCTGGTGCCTGCTTGGGTCATACTACTGGTGCTCCATGGTGCAAACGGCTGGGTGGGCCTTGGCTTTCCGCTGGTGATTCTAGTTGCCGGGATTCCCATTGCTGCATACACATGGACTCGCAGCCGCCGTGCCTACCTCGCGTGGTTTTGCCCCTCCACAGTGCTAGCGGCTGAGAAGTCGCTTAATGGCAAACTCGTCCGCATCGAAGTACAGCTAAGCTCTGGATACCGCAAGTGTAGCGTTGGAGAATATGCCTACATCAATATTCCGAGCATTTCTCGATTCGAATGGCACCCTTTCACCATCAGCAATAGCAAGGATGATGAGACGGGAGGCCAGCTGATCACTTTCTGCATTATGAGCGTTGGCCGCTGGACCCAGAAGTTGAAGGATGCCTGTGCCGGCCATGCCTTCCCGCGTGTGAACATCGACGACCCGTTCTATGCTCCCACCGTCAGCATGCCTTTGCACTCCACGGTCGTGGGGATCGGCGCCGGCGTTGGAGTGACCCCTTTCTTATCCTTCCTCGGAAGCCTTGCAGCTTCGCAAGTTTCACAAGAGCGCCAGCATGCACATGTCTTTTGGATGTCGGCCTGGGCCACTGACTTCCTCCTCTTCAAGGACCTCTTTGCCCAGCTCGAGACCCAAGGTGGCAACACGAAGTGTCACCTCCACGCCACGCCGCGGTGGGATGGTAGAGGCCTGGGCTGCCTTTTCGATCTGGCAAGTCGCGACATTTGGAACGATTGGGTGCGGCGCCTTGCAGCAAGAAGCAGTGAGACTGTGCCCACCTTCTGCCACTATCCCAAGCCCCTGCATGCAGTCGTCTCAGGCAGCACGCTAGAGTCGGAAACACCTTTGGTAATTGTGGTAGGCAGGCCGGACTTCGTGGCAGAGCTTCTAGCCATCGGCCATGCAGACCTGCGGGAGCATGTTTTCGTTTACTGTTGTGGCAACGACTCACTGAAGGAAGGAATCCAAACAGCGTGCGTCGCCTGCAACAAGCACAATGAAAGCAGTGGCTACATGCAGCGCTTCTATTTCTACCATGAACGATTTGGCTGAGCAAGCTGTTTGGCACGGTTGTACAGCGCTTTTTACGGATCATGCTACCGTGGTGCAGCGTGTTGTGTCTCACCTTACATACTCGTCCTTTCGTCTCGCCGGGCTTCCAAACGCGCATAGTCCAACGTACAGAAGGCGGTGCTAGTAACTGCTAGTATGTTTGCTACAGCTGTAGTCTGCCACAGTAGAGCAGTAATTGAAGCACAAGCTGGGCTCCGAGATGTACGGGTTCAAAATCAGCGGAATGGCTTCAAAGTCAGCGGAATGGCTGGCTACGGGTAGGTGGAGATCGAGGAGCCTCCGGGAGGGATTTGGCACATGGCCGTGAGCTTCCCCCAAAGATTCGAACAAGAGGTCAGGAGTTCAGTCAGCCTCTCTTGTAAGCTGTGACTCTTGCCGCTGACGAGATGACCCCGAGCAAGGTTGGGACTCCGCGCTCATGGCGAGTTGCTGCAGTCTTCAAGCTAGGCTTCAGGTAAGACTTCATTCGCCAAGTTTGCCTTATTAATGTTGCGTGCAGACAGAACTTTCTAAAAACCAGTTTGGGGAACACTCTGCCGAAGCCTGAACGTCCCCCCCCTTCTTCATCGCATAGATAGCATCCCATGGATGCTGCGTTCACCAAGAGGGTTTGGGGTTTCACTGGGAGGGCCTGAACGGTGTGAAGGGTCGAGGATTTAGGGTGGCAGAAAGCCGGGGTCTGGAAAGAATGCGAGTAGTGCAACGAGTGACGAGGACGACGCAATACGAAACAAGAAGCCAGTAGATGTTGCTTTAGTGCATGATTCCGTTGAAGCATGTTGCCGGCGACATGGTGGCTCGAGGTGTTCTAAGCCAGACTTCCGTATTCTGCCGGATCCTTTCCGTTCCCGCCCTGCGCCCGAAGCGACGAAAATGGAATTTCATCTTTGGGCATTCAACCGCAACTTTTCCAGTAATGTGCCGTCGCTCAATCCTGACGACGAGCATGTGCATGAGTCTACAAAGAAGGACAATTTCATGTTCTGCCAGGGTTCCCGGACCAGCAGCTTGAGTTGAGTCCCTAAACCCTAAACCCTAAACCTTAAACCCTAAACCTTAAACCCTAAACCTTAAACCCTAAACCCCTAAACCGACAGTCTTAAGCCCGGAATCGCCAACCCTGGGCCCCCGTGGCAGCAATGGTGGTGGATGCTTGCGAAGCTCAAAGGCCATGATGCTGGCTCGGCTGCTTTCACTTCTGTGGTGCCTCGGTAGGTACCGCGAATGTAGAAGTGTAATCAGGGTTTTAACGTTGAAGTTGTAAAAAGAACCCTAAACCCTAAACCCTAAATTCTTGGACCCTTAATTAATATCCCCTCTGAGCAGCCCTGACAGGAAGCCGAGAGAGGAACCCTGAAACCAGAAGGCCTAAAGCCCTCAACCCTAAAGCCCTAAGCCCTAAAACCCAAGACCCTAAACCCTGAACCCCTAAACCCTTAAACCCTAAACCCTAAACCCTAGAACCCTAAACCCTAAAACCCTAAAACCCTAAACCCTTAAACCCTAGACCCCAAACCCTCAACTCCTCCAAAAAAAACCAAGCCCTAAAGCTCCCAAGGCTCGCCTCTTGCACTTCGGCCGCTCCTCGCCGGGGTGGCCTTGAGCTTCAGGTGCCAAGGGCTGTGAGGGGGTTTAGGGTTTAGGGCTTAGGGTTTGGGGTTTGGGGTTTAGGGTTTAGGGCCTAGGGTTTAGGGTTTAGAGGTTAGGGTTTAGGATTTAGGGCTTAGGGCTTGGGGTTTAGGGCTTAGGGTTCAGGGCCTGGGGTTTGCTAGACCTGAAGGCGTTGGAGCGTTTTGCTTCGGGGTCAAAGTCTATGAGAGTTTCAGGGTTGACGGTTGAGGGTTTGGGGCTAGTTTAGGGTTCACGGCTTTGCGCGCACGTGCGAGGAGGGAAGGATGGACCAGCATCGCGAGCAGCACGGTTTGTCGGTTGAAGACTGGTTCTTTTCGATTCCCTAAACCCTAAACTTTCAGCTGCGAGAGCGCTGGACCCTACGCGGGCTCTCCGGGCTTTGAGTTTCGGGGTGTCAGGGGGGACACAGAGTTTTCCCGAACGCCCCAACAACTCCGGTGGATTGAGTTTCGGGTTTAAGGTTCAGGGCCCTAAGCTCTAAACCCTAAGCCCTCGACCCTAAACTCAATAAACCCTAAGCCCCAAACCTCCAAACCCACAATTCTAAAACCGCAAGCCCTGAATCCCTGAACCCTCAACCCTTAACCCTAAGCCGCGAGGCCCCTAAACTTTCAAGCCGAAAACCCCAAACCCTCAACCCCTAACCCGTTAAGGAAACCCTTTTGGAGTCCTCAAAGCGAAACTTATACGGGCACCCCTACAGAATCCCTTAAAGGGAAACCCTAACAGAATCCTAAACGGCGCTAGACGAAAAAAGGAACCTGACAAGAAACTCTGGGTCTTTATGAGGGGTTCGGGGTTTGGGGGTTTTCGGGTTTAGGCTTTAGGGGGTGTAATTATTGTATTGCAAAAACGTAATTAAGAAATAATGGGGTGGTTCGTTTATGTTCTATATGATTTATATGGTTTTATAGTTGAAATGGAATGGAGTATTTTGGAAAAGTTAGACAGGATTCAAGTATTTTGGTGTTGCGATAGGACCAGAGTTACTTAATCAGGTTCCTACAGTACATACGAAAGCAATGTGAAACGAAGCGAAAACACATGAGTCAAGAGACCAGGGACTAAGCAAGAACGCATAAGCAAACACATTATTATGAGTCGTCTATGTGCGTGTCGTGTTGTATATATATTTTTTGTATTTGTATAACTACACACACAACAATCGTACCATACTCCTAAGGCAGGAGCCCTTGACACTGAAGCCCGAAACCCGAACCTAAACCGAAGCCCTCGACAACAAAGCCCGACCCTTCTGCTCAAACTCCGCTGTCTCTGTGTGTTGTTGGATCTCAGAATCTGAATGGAAGCCTCATGTGAAGCCTCATGTCAGATACGTGGCATTGCGATGTATCAATCTCGCCAGGCCATCACTGCACGGAAAATCATGCAAACCTCAAGCCCGAAACCCTAGAAGCCCGCACCAAAACCCAAGCCAAACCCAATTGGATCCTCCTGGGTCTGGGAACACACGGCTTTCTACGATCCGGAGCCTCTTGAAATTTTAGGCTTCCCTTTCTGGGGGTCTGCAGATGATCTAAAACCCCAAACCCTAAACTCAGTTCTTTCAAGTGTACCTAAACCCTAAACCCTGAACCCGAAACACCCTAAACCCTGAACCCGAAACCCGAAACCCTGAACCCGAAACCCTACCCAAATCTGGCTCAGGTGCCGCCCGAAGGCATCGAATCCGAGGCCGCTGGGCGTTCTCTGATGCTGCAGGGTTTTGGGCTTTACATTTAGGGGTTTTGGGTCTGGGGCTTCGAACCCGAAACCCTAAACCCTAAACCACAAGTTAGGGTCTAGGGCCTAGTGCTTAGGGTTTAGGGTTTAGGCTTTGAGGGTTTCGGCTTTTGTTTGGAGAACCGTTTGTGGGGTGCACATGAAGGCACACCGGCTTTTGGGGTTTAGGGTTTGTTTAAAGAAAGGGAAGCACTTGAAATAACTGGGTTTAGGGTTTAGGGTTTAAGTTTTTTGTGTCACTTTTGTCCTTTACCGGTGCTCTTGTGGCTGCTTGCAGCGCTGCAGTGCTGACGGGGGTCTTGGGCGCTGCTGCTGCTGCTGCTGCTGCTGCTGCAACGTGCCGTTTGGGATCAGAAGGAGACGGCGACCAGAGGTTCTCCTGAGTCAGAAGCCCTGACCCCTACCCCCCGTAGATCTCACGACAGCTCCAGGCCTCCCAACCCTTTAAGTGCTGTGCAGTGCAGGTCCTGCGCCCGCGTCCGCTTGTTCGCCGTCACCTGGGGCCCGGGCTGCCCTCGGAGGTTTCCTTTCACATCCCCGCGGCCTCCCCTCTCGAAGTCCCAAGAGGCAGTTCTTTAAAGGAAGCTTCCGAGGGCAGAACCCGGACGCCGGAAGGGACGAGGGCGGCGAGTCTACTTGTGCCCCTCGGCGAAGTTGCAGATACGAAGAAAACGGGTTTTGAGGAGCATCACGTAGTGATCCTTGCTTCCTTTCGGATGGTGGGGGGCTTGGCATCCGCAGTTGATAGAGCATGTGATCTTTTGAAGAACGACAAAGCATCCCAGACTGCTGGCCAACAGATGCAGAGACAAAGCAGCAAACTCTAGTCTATAGAACCCTTGTTGACTTATAGAGGCCCGTATAGTAACCACATAGTCCTACAGTTAGCCAGCAATGTAAACCCTAAACACAAGCGTCAAAATGAAGGCCTCGCGGTGATTTGATGCCTTTTCCTTGTGTTGAGGCTGGGTACAGGCAGCAGACTTTCACTATCCTGCAGCAAACCTCAACGCTACTGTTGTGACGAGGCAGCCTCTTCCTTAATAGTAATGCATCATAACTACATAGATATTGCCTTAATGTTAATAATGATACTTGTCACAATAATAATGCTACAAGAGTAAGAAGAGTCATGCGAACAACCTTCAGCTGGCTGCCTGGGCCCTGAACCAAAAGGCCCTGGACGCCACTTCCTGGAGCCCAAAGCCAGGGCTGACGGAGGTCTCTGAATCCATGAGCCCTGAAGTTCCTGTCTGCCGTAAGTAATCATAGTAGTTATAGCAAAAAAAGGAGCGGTAATGATAGTATGATAGTAATGATAGTACTCATAGTAATAGTGGTACCAGTAGCAGTAGTAGTCATAGTAATCATGGTAACGAATGAAAGTAATGATAGCAACAATGGTAATCATAGCACTAGTAATAGTAGTACTATGGCACTCATGGTAGCAAGAGTAATCCGCACAGCTGCTGGAGGCAGAACCTCGGCCATGGGTCGCTGTCATGGTATCTCTGGTTGGGGCTGCGCCTCGGCTTCGAGTTTTGGGTTTCGGGTTTAGGGTTCGGGAGGCCTTAGTGCAGAAGAGGTTCTCTAAAGTCTTACGG